TGTGGAGGACTGATGTGGGGGACTGATGTAGGGGACTGATGTGGGGGACTGATGTGGGGGACTGATGTGGGGGACTGATGTGGGCGGTACTTTGCATTGTGTAGAGGAAATGATACTCAGAGTTCTGATGCCGTATCCGGTATTTCTCCCCATTTCAGGTCTCGCCGCCGCCCGGGATCAGAGGAACGTTCATCGATGGCGCACGCCAACTGCAGCTTCTCCTTTGGCTACGTCCAGACTAACTACCTGGCCCCGGTGTACGGGGTGGAGTTCGTGTTCGCCGTGCTGGGAAACGGTTTTGCCATCTGGCTCCTGGGCCCGGGAGGATCCAAGAACCGCCATGCCGGAATTATCTTCTCTCTCAACCTGGCGGTGAGCGACCTGGCCTACGCCCTGTCCCTGCCTCTCCTGGTGGCCTACTACTCCATGGGGAAGGACTGGATCTTCGGCGTGGCCCTCTGTAAGGTGGAACGCTTTCTTTTCCACTGCAACCTCTACGGCAGCATCTTCTTCATCACCTGCATCAGCGCCAACCGGTGCATCGCCGTGGTCTACCCATTCTATGCCAGGGGCAGGGTGGAGAGTAAGCACGCCAGGCTGGCCAGTGTGGTCGTGTGGCTCGTAGTCGCCGCCATTTCTTGCCCCGTGTTTGAATTCTCCACGTTGAAGGCCGCGCAGGGCAAGAGCGAGTGCTTGGGAACCGCTCCGGACAGCCGGCTCGGCTCATACTTGCCGTACAGCCTGTTCCTCGCCGGCTTCGGCTGCGGCCTCCCGTTCATCGTCACCCTGGTCTCTTATACGGGCATAGCGCGGGCCGTGTGGAAGAGCCACGGCCTGGAATCCAAGGAAAAGAGAAAAGTGGTGACCATGGTGTGCGTGGTGGTGTCACTCTACACCGTCTCCTTCCTGCCCTACCACATCCTGAGGAACCTCAACCTCGCCAGCAGAAGGTGGCCTAAGAATTGCCAGCAGTCCATCCTGGTGCATTCGGCCTTCCAGGTCACCCGGGCCCTGGTGGCACTGAACCCTTGCATCCACCCGTTGCTCTACACTTCCGTCATGGACAACGTGCGGGCAAAGCTGGGCTGCCGCCAGGGGCAGGAAGGGGAGAAGCCTCCGGAGAGCATTCGACTCGGCGCGGCGATGGCACCGGAGCGGTATTAGAGGAACTGAAGACATTCGAAGGGAAGATGGCAAACGTCTTGACGTGAGGACACGAAGGGGATGAAGCGGGACAATGACTAGACATGCGCACCGGCAAAACATTCGTTTCGTTTCATTTCGGATTTTGTGTTATTTCGTTTTTCGGGATTCGGAAAAATTAGTCAGCGGAGGACGAAATTTCGTTGCCGAAAAATGACATTAGAAGAAAAAATGTTTTTTAGTCTGCAGAAGAGGGGGG